ACCCTACCTCTCCGTCTTTGTCTGTCTGTCTGTCTGTCTGTCCTGCCGCAAAGGGCACCCGTGTCCAAGAACTCCTCTTTAACCCAGGCAGCAAAGCAACAGTTCATGACATCTTTCTCCACAGCCGTGAGGTCCGCCACAGCCGAAGACGATGAGCCACAGGTCACAATCACCCACAGAATTAACGAAAACAAAGACGCAGAGCTCATCTGTACGGTTAAAGATCTCGGCTCCAGGCGGGTGAGTGACTTAATCGAGTGTAAACAGATAGGGTTGCATTTGACAACTGGTCTTTTATTGATGGTTTCCAATTTCTGTGTTTAGTTATATCATGTCGAAAGACAGCACTCTCCTTTTTAGTTTTTATGCAAAATGAACCAACATCTTCGATTTTAAGTCGATTCTCCAGTGGGCTTACATCTACGGTTTCATACCTTCATTTGCCGCCCCTGCAGGTGGGGGTCCCTTTGTTTCACTTTGGGGGAGCAAAGAATAACACCTGCCGTGATACTGCATGTCGTAAGAGTTCACTAAAGGTGCGTAGGTCTGGTCTACTGAAAAGTGCCAGTTTGCGGAGAGCCAACGACTCGACCCGTTAAAGAAACACGAACAAACACACCTTATCATTTTTCCATCTTGGGAGACAGAGGAGTTTCTGCCCCAGCAGGAACAATGAAGAGCAGTGAACAAAGCCGAATAACATCAAACGGCTAGACCAGGATAGGGAAAGGTGGACTGTGTTTGTTCGTGGCCTTTATCCTAGTTCAGGGTGAGAACAGCAATGACGATGACCTTCATTTGCCCTTACAGGCCAGTTTGATTCCATACACCGGTGTAAAACAGATTCAGCCTGTCTGGTTGCTTACACATTGATAGGCTGTGCAGTATATTATGTCGACAGCGAAGATCCTGGGCCGCTAAACTTTACCTAGGCGTGGAATGAAATTTAAAAAATTTGTCTTAAACGGTCCATTTAATTCAATAAAAGGCTGCTATTTTGAACCAACCACTATAAGCTCTTCAATCAATGATAGTATATTCTTTTGATAGGATGGTTATGATGGCCAGATGTCCATTTTCAGATCAGACGTTCGTGTACTAGAGCACTCTAGCCCCAACCGCCAGGTGCACGTTAATTAACTAGTCAAACCTGTAGTAGACCATGCGAAAACATTACTTTGCAGAATAGTCAGTTCTTCGTACAACATAAAACATTGATATTTCTATATCTGAGAGACGAGTTTTTAGTAGAACCATTGAACTTTGCACGCAGATGTAAGGATCATTACAGGAATGTCATTGAAGAGCCTCACGCCTGCAATGACCAGTCTATGTCGATAGAGGCATACGGCCGAGACTGATATTGCCCTTTTTAATCTCCCTCAGTCTTTCGAGAAATGTACGTTTATCACTAGTATACATAATTCATAAGCAAATCTACCCCCCCCCCTCCCCCAAGAAAAAGACGGAAAGAAAATTCTCTTAGTCTTCTACGTATATCCAATCAGTTTCTAATTTCTACTTCAGGTCAAATGAATCTTGATAGCTGAGTGTGAAATTTTAAACTTTGATCCGATTTTCAGAATCCACTCTTCGTCTTAGACTGTCCATAGTGTCCCATGCACTTGGAATTAGCACGTAAACATTCCCATTGAGACATCTTTTTTCTCGACCCTTTAAGCATCTCAAGCATAATATTAACTGGGATACATTTTCTCGCGCGTATTTCAAACATACCCGGAACGTCCACAGATAATATGGAGCAAGTTATCCGACCCGTATCCTATCTCGATCGGGACCACTCGCTTCATGCCCAACAAGAGATACCGTGTTGAAGGAAAGTCCAGAGAGGCCGTCATGTTGACCATCAAACGAGTGACCTTCCAAGACGCTGGGGAGTACCAGTGCCGGGTCAGTGGCTTGGAGTATCTTGCAGAGATAATCTCTTTAAACATTCCCTCAGGTAAGCCCCTTTGGACATCTCTTCACTGTTGTTGACTCTCTCTCTCTCTCTCTCTCTCTCTCTCTCTC